GGAGGGAGGGAGGGAGGAGGGAGAGAGGAAGGAAACCAACCTTTGTTAGGCACTTACTGTGGCCCTGTGGCTAAGTGCTTTTTACAATTATGATCTCAGTGGATCCTCACAGCAGTCCTAGGAGGGACGCATGGTTATTTTCCCCATTTTACAGTTGAAGACACTGAGGCACAGAGCTGAAGTGGGCAGGGGCCCAGGCTCCCACCATTAGACTTGACCTCAGGTCTTGTTGACTCCAGGCTTAGGATGGGGAGGCTCCGTCCACAGTGGCCCCGGCTGCCTCCTTTTCTGGCAGCTTACAGCCTGTGGCCATTCTCTCCTCTCTATGTCTCTAATATCCCTGAATCTTCCCCACTGTTCCTCTCACCCACTCCCATCACCTCTGCCCCCAGCCCCTGGTCTCCCACAGCTCAGTCAGCCTGGGAACTCCCATGGGAAGCTGCCTGACCGTGGAACCCACCATCAGGTCCCAGGCCCCATCCTCAACCCCTTCCTGGCCACCCTCCTGAGTCTCACCCTGGAAAAACCAAATGTTGCCCTGTGGATCCTCAAAGGCAGCATCAAGGCTGGTGGGCAGGCCTTGCCAGTGGCGAGAAGCCAGGGCCGGGTAGCCGGGCTGCAGCTGCCCAGCCCTCAGCCTCCAGACAAAGCCCGACTTGAAAAAGAACAGTTCCCCTCGGATGGTGGCTGCAGCATCAAAGTCTGTGTCGCAGGCGTCTGGCTGCAAGGGGGACATTGAGGCAGGATTGCGGGGGAGGCATTAGAACTGGTGGGCAGTGGCAGGGGGGCTGGGTAGGCAGCCGGGGCCTCACCTCCAAGGAGATCTCGTTGGTGTCTATGTCACCTGGCTGGGGTGGGGGAGGTGCTTTGGGGTGGGGCCTGGTGGGCCCTGGGGCTGGAGGGGCCAGGGTCGGGTGGGGCTCTGGGCTGGGCACAAGCCGCTGTCCATAGAGGTGCTGGATGCCCTGCTGGTCATCTGGGCTCAGGCTCAGAGGGTAGCGGAAGGTGTAGAAAGGGGACATCAGAGCTTTGGCTTCATTTGAGTGCTGGAGGCCCAGCACGTGGCCGAACTCATGGGCGGCCACCTGGAGCAAGTCTGTGCCTGGGAGGGATGGGCAGAAGCGGGCACAGGAGCTTGCAATCCTGGGGCCTTGACACCCCAGCACCCAGCCTGGAGGCAGGGAGCCCCATCCAGGGGACAGCCAGTCGTCTGCCCCATCTCAGTTCCCTCAGGCCCACCCCCCACCCATCCTTCCTTATTTTCCCCCAGCCTCACCATCCATCTTGCCTCTGCTTCTCCCAGCCTCACCATCTACCCTGCTTCAATTTTCCCCAGCCCAAGGCTCTCATACCCAGGTTGTTCCCAATGGTCCAGGTCTCATCATAGTCAAAGTGCACATCCCCCTCCCGGTGGGTCTTGGGGAAGAAGGCATGAGCCAAAATGCCTCCAGGTCCATCGAAAGGCAGATTGTCTCCGTGCCAGTACCTGGGGAGAAGCCGAGGTCAGGAGGCTCTGCTCGGCTGCCCCTGGCCTGGGACATTGACAGGGGGTTCATTTCTGTAGCCTAACCAGGAACCAGGGCCCCCAGAGTGCTTCCCCCACCCCCACTGCTGGGGTCGGCGAGAAGGGTGACCTCTGGCCTCGAAGTGCAGTTCTTGGATTCTAGTGTACCTGTGTATGTGACCTTAGACAGGTCTCTAGTCCTGTGAAAGCGGAGTTCTCCCCCTGCCTCCACCCCCTCAGAGCTGTCACTGTGATCAGTTCAGTGACTTAGACTTGCTTCCTGTTCAGTGCCAGGGCCACCCCACAGAACCCCAGGGAGCTCCAGTGACCCACCTGAGGTTCTCCTGGGCACATTCAACACCCGACAGCCACTGGAAGCCAGGTGTCCTGGTCCTGATTTCCAGGACAGGCCTCTGGGATCCTCAGCACAGGCAGGACATGGAGCCAGCCTAAGGCTAGGGGTAGTGCCAGGGGTGGTGTCAGGGCCCCTGCCCCTATACTGGGCGCTTACCTGGTGAAGTCAATCATGATATCTGCCCTGCCTTCTTGCACCTCCGTGAAGGTAAGTGGGGTCACATTGCTCCATACCCGTAAGGCCTCTGCCATCATCTGCTGTACTTGCTCCTTGACCAGCTGCCAGGGGAACCGCATGATTCTGGACAATGTTGGAAGACATATTGGGGCTGGGCCATGAGTCAGAACCCCCAACTCCAATCATGGCCAGGAAGGAAGGAGGGAGGGAGGAGGGAAGGGAGGGAAGAGGGAGGAAGGGAGGAGGGAAGAAGGAGGAAGGGAGGGAGGAAGGAGGAGGGAAGGGAGGGAGGAAGGAGGAGGGAAGGGAGGGAGGAAGGAGGGAGGAGGAGGGAAGGGAGGGAGGAAGGGAAGAAGGAAGGAAGGAGAGAAATGAGCATTTATTAAGTGCCAACTACATGCCAGCCTCTATGCTAAGAGCTGTTACAAATGTCTCATTTGGACATCACAACAACCCTTTGAGGTAGAGGCTATTATGAGTCCCATTTTACAGTTGAGGAAACTGATACAAATGGAGATTAAGTGACTCGCCCAGGGTCACTGAACTAATAAGTGTCTGAGACTGAATTTGAACTCAGGGCTTTCTGACTCCAGGCCTAGTGCTCTGTGCCCTGTGGCACCTCCAAGTGCCTATGGAAGGCCTCCAGCCTTGTCTAAATGTCTGTGCAGAAAGGCTGTGTGTGGAGGGAGACAGCATGAGAATGAATGAAGGCTAGGCCTCCCTCCTGCCCTCTCTTCCTTATCCCCCTCTCCTGGAAGGTTACCCTGGCCTCCTCCCATGCCCTCCCCAGCTTCATCTAAAGGAGTGTAGAGAAAAGGCACTTCTGCCAGAGGGTCCAAGTGTATACAGACACCATCCGTATACTGGGGCCTCTGGAGACATTGCCCCCCTACCTGTAGGTAAGGTTGACCTTCTCCCAGCGCCCACCAGACAGCACGAAGCGTTTTTGCCGGTTCTGGAGGCGCAATCCGCGAGGCAGGTTGGGCACACCACAGCGGGGGCGGCCCTGAGCTGTGGCCCACTGAGGGGCAGCCTGCATGGGAAGGATTGGCTTGGAGGCTGCAGCCTTGGGGACATCCTCAAGCCAGGGTCCATCCTCCTTGAGTGCTGAGTCCTGCATAGACAGCAGAGAAGCCTCAGAACCCCCCTCCTCCCAGCTGAGTGCTCCCTGCCCTCCCAGCTGCCCTGGGCTGGATCTCAATCCCAGCTCTGACTAGCAGCAAAATCACCCGCTGTTCACTCACCAACTCTCTGAACCTCTCTCCTAATCTGTTCAGCCGAACAAACCTTAATCACTCCCTGCTGTGGACAGGGCTCAGCACTCAGTACCTGACCACAGAGATGCAAGTTAGCCAGGACCTGCCCTCAAGGAGCTTCCATTCCACCAGAGGTCAGGACAGGACCCAGACATGGGGGTTCTCACACCTGCCTCAGTCGCTGTCCCACAGACTAGATATGGCTGCCTCATCATTAAAAGGCTATCGTGGTATTTTGAGGGATTGACTGGTTAACTGTCCTCCTGGAGATCCCCCTGCCTGTCAGAGGGAAAGAAAGATTGAACAAGTAATAGAGAGAAAGAGGAGGCAGGAAACTTTCCTGAGAGCTCATCTTGTGAACAGATTCTAAGAGAATACTTGAGTCTTCCCAAGAAGGCTGAGAGATGGAACTATGTTACACAAGGCAAAGATGAGCTGCTCAGGATTGGGTTCAGGACCTTACTCACAGCTGAAACATTGTAAACCATCATGCACCTCTGTCTTTGACTACTTGCTACAATGTTAATAAATTGTAGCATCAGTAACTTCGATGGTTAATTTAAGCCTAGGAGAGGAGATAGACATGTAGAGATAAGTAATTACATTCTTTAAGGAAAAGAAGTTTCTCTAGTTTTAAAAATAAATAATCTTTAATAAACTGGGGATGTAGGCCCAGAGCTAATTGTTTAATGAGAAGATGTTGTTTTAGTAACCAATAAGAACACACCTGCAGATTACCTTGGGACTCAAGGTGATAGGAGGGGATGTAGTTTGCCCTAAAACCCTGCCACACAGAAGTGAGGACCCAAGAGCAAACAGTGAGAGCTCTTCCCAAAAGAAATGGACTGCCTTCCCTAAGAGGTGGGCTCCTGTCACTGAAGCTGGGTAGCCACGTCTCAGCAAGGTTGTTGAGGGGATCCCCATGAAGGGAGGAGTTGGGACAGACGCTTTCGAGTTCCCTATCAATTCTGAGGATCAGAAACTCTATGTGTAAATTCATATGCCCTAAGGAAACACCATAATTGGGATGGGGAAATCCCAAAAGACTTCTTGGAGGAGGCTCCAAAGACCGTGGACCCAAACACAGATAGGTTAGGAGAGTGGAGATAGGTAGAGGCATTCTAGGTGAAGGCCAACCTGTGGGAGCTGGAGAGTGGGGAGTAGAAATGGGGATGCTATGGCCAGAAGGAAGGAGAACCTTGTACCTGTTACATCCCTTTGTCAAAGTGAAAGCACCATGTAACCACCAATGGGAGCTACTGAAATCATTCATGAGTGCTCTCTTTATTGCCATGGCTGGAGGGCACCCCAGGAGTACTCAAGTATAACTCTCTTTTTATAGGAGGGGAAACTGAGTCCCAGAAGGAGATGGGATCTGCCCAGAGGCACACAGTGGTGAAGCTGGGTCCTCTGCCCTAGGGTCTGCCTGCCTGCCCAGCCAGAAGTCACCCCCAGGCCCTGGCTCTCACTTTCCATTGCCCAGCTACACCACTCAGGCTACCATCACACTACTGCAGAAGCCCCTCGGGGGCTTCCAGCCTGGGCTGCCAAACCATCATCTGTTGGTCAGTTGCCCATCTACCTGGAGGCCTCTTTATGCCCTACACTGAGTGCCAGGGGAGCTGAATGTTAGATGGCCACATGACCCAGAGCAGGATACAATCCTCCTCCAGCCCTGGCCCATGGCATGGTCTCCCCTGGCTTGGGGTTTTCTGCTGTAACTGATGGGACCACTCTATGGTTCAGCCTTCCTGCCTGAGGAGAGGATCCCAGGTCCCTTGGTCAGACAGGCAGCTTGACTGTGATGGGGAAGCATACCCAGGCAGGAGCCAGGATGCTCACAGAACACATTCCTTCTCCTTTGGAGATCTCCAGGGCCTCCCGCAATGCCACCCCCCAACTTAGCCAGAGAGTTTCTTGGCTATCTCCTAACAGTGCATGTCTTTGGGGGTGGGGGCAGAGGCATGATAGTGAGCTGACCCTCCTTCCACCTCCCTGGTCCTTGGCTGGCCACACCAGACTGAAACGGGAAGAATAAATATTTGCACGCCCCTCTTACAGAATAGCAGCCTGGGATAAAGAGCCCCAAAGTGAGCCCCGGCAGACCCAAACACATTGGACTGAACAGAGGAGCCAATGGTGTTGATGAAATGGAGCCCAGTTCTGGTCCTGACTTGGCCACTACCTTGCTGGGCAACCTGCAGTAAGTGTCCTTCCCTCTCTGGGCCCCACTCGCCATATTTCTAAGATGAAGAGGCTGAATCAGATGACCCATTTCTAAGTATTGACTAGCTGGAAATTCTTGGGTCTTCTGTCTAACATCCAGTGACCAAGCAGCTGAGCACAGCTGGCCAGTGGCCCTCTCTCCAGGCTCCTGCAGGGTCCTCCTGCCAGACCCATGCTGAGCCCAAGGGCCCCCCTTTGTCTCCTCCACTCCAAGCCCCAGGCCCTCTGCCCTGCCTCTCTCTCCAAGCCCCTGTGAGGCTCTGGGGACAGTCTTGCAGAGGGGGCTGCTGGAGCAGGGCCAGGCCAGCCTCGCCAGGGGACCCCAGCTGGCCACCAGGACACATGGGCAGGCTTCCTTCTCTAGGGCCTTCTCTCTCGGGGGGTTAGAGCAGAGACACCTGCTACAG